ATCAACACCAACGTGGCACAGTTGGCAGATACCAAGCGGATCTTCCAAGAGGCCAAGACGGATGTTGGAGATGACGTACCAGAACCTGAGCCTGCCAAAAAGCCTGACGATGCGGATGAGGAGTTCCCTATCTTGGACGAAGAAGAGCTGGCAATGCTGGGCGGCAAAGCAGAAGGAAGAGTATGAGAACATCCAGAACGAATTCCAGCTGGCCAAGAAGTACATCGAAGACAAAAAGACGGCGGTCCACAACGCGAAGAAGGCACTCGACGCGGCGAAGTCCATCGAGACCAAGGCCTGCAAGAAGCGAAAGGAAGAAAACGGTGGTGACGTTGACAGCAAGCCTGACCAAGACCCAGCGCATGCTGCAGCAGCGGAGTCAGGTGTACCAGTTGCAGGACCAGTCCCAGTGGACCCACAGATCGAGCTCGCCAACCAATTCGACCTCTCCGACGACAACCAGGTTCAGGCGTACCTCGCTAAATTTGCCCAGATCAAGGGCAGGACGAAGGCCATGGTGGCCACGAAGCAGGGCACCGAACCACAGCCAGAATTTCTACCGCGGGGAAGCCGAGTACGACAGCTTCGTACTCGTAGCTCCTGCTGCGAAGGTGGGTGAGCCACATGTGGCCACCGTTGCTGCTATACAAGGCAAATCCCCACTCGTAGCAGGGCTTCATCGAGGACCAGGCGGACCGCCCAAGCCGACCTAAGAAGCAGGCCTGGTTTGACGACGACGTTGACCTCATCATCTAGAGTGTGTCTACTCGAGCCGGTGATGATTCTAGCAGCGCTTCATCTTTTCCACATCGGGGAGTTCTACAGGCTCGTCACCGTTGAATGAACCAGTCCGTGCAGGTGCGCAAGGTACTGGAATCACATTCCCTTCTAACGGCAGTGAACCAGAGCCAATTCGACGAGGCGAAGCCCATCGTCACCATTTTCGTGGCCAACGTTACGCAGTACAACCAGGCCGTCAAGACATACATTCAGGACAAGAGCAAACAATATGACAGCATTGCACTGAATGAGCACCACTTGAGAGGACCAGCAGCGGAGATCGAAGCAAACCGGCTGATGCAATACGGTAGGAGATCTCACGGCACATGGGCACCAGCGAGACAGTCACCACGCTCGAAGAAAAGCACCTTGGGAGGCACCTGCATCCTTCGACGTCGGCATCTGGACACTCGCGCACACCTGCCAGACGCGCAGGGCTACAATATTTTCGCCAAGGAGTTTCATGACATCTCCATCGTCAAATGGCAACTCAAAGGACAACAAATAGCGGTTATCACGGCATATCTCACGGCATCAATTGGCTTCGCGGGTGAGAACATCCGCAAGATGAAGCACCTGCGGCAGCTAACGAAGAGCTTGCGCAACATACCTTGGGTCATCTGCGACGACTTCAACAATGCGCCCCAGGAGCTTGAGGCGACGCCTTGGCTCAAGCTGCTTGGAGGATCGATTGTGGTGCCCCAGCGCGTTAGTCATGCGTGCAGCAGTGGATCGGGCCGCCTCATTGACTATGCCATCATTCCTCCAGATCTTCGGCCATTACTCAAGCAAGTACGTGCTGAACATAATGTACCCTGGTCGCCGCATATTGGTATTGTTATCGAGCTATGGGCCAAACCATCAACCATCCTCATCCGCAAGCCCATGCTCCCAGCCAAGCGGCCCTTTCCCACCACGGAACTAAAGCGAGAGAAGGGTATCAAGAGGCAGCAAAGGGATCGCACACAACATAACGAGATGGCCCAGTACTTTGAGGAAAACCTCCTAGACAACAAGCTCCTGGACACGCACTACACGGAGACGGTAGCCATGCGTTGTGACCAGACCATCTGGGCGGAGTGCCGCGCGGAGGAGGCATTCTGCCGAATCCGAGGCGCACCGCAGTGGGTTCGGAACTCGCTCGCGTACCAGCAGGACCCGAGGATGAGTGAGCTACTTGGACAACTATACGGCAAATGGGCGAATGCAGCAGAGCGGGCATTGGCAACTATCACAGAGGCGCCGTTACAACCACGAGCTCGCAAAGGTCAGCCGACGCGTTACCGAGAAGTACCTTACCCATAGCACATTGCAGGCAAACCAAGAGGCGACACCAAGGCGGATGAGCAGCAGCGAATAGGCACCCTGCGGACTTCGCTATACCATCGTTGCTGAGACGGAGCACTACTCCTCCAGAGACACCCGATCGAGAGCAAACAACACATGTATGCCATCAGCGTCATCATCGGGAACGTAGTCGACCAGATCGACAAGCTCGACAGCACGAAGGTGGCAGAGACGGACTACCTGGATAGCCACGCCGCTCTACTGGCCAGACGAGTATGCAACCTCCGCCATGACCCCGACCCAGAGGTAAACGTTGAGAACATCCAAGAGTGGCAGGATGCAGTGGAGGCTACACGGCTCAGGGTGGAATGGCATGCAGCACAAATGTGGAAAAAAGTCAGAGAGAAGATTGGCCAGTGGACGAGGACGGCCC